TCTTTTGTGTATTCTGTCTATGATACATTGGAGCTGCTCGTAGAAATATTTTTTGGTGGATTCATCTGCTGGTAACGTTGGCGCGTAGACTGATACCACCGTTGTGCTTGATAGAATTTCTTGGGAACGGACTATAGTCATCCCAGGGCCGATAGGCTATCATGAGATCATGAGATCATGAGGTGAGTGCAAAAGTCATCCCATATCGGCCTCGGTTATCAGTCGACCTGCTATGATGCAGCCAGTTGGAGTCCTCCATGCAGCATTCCGGAGTTTTATGTGCGAACTTCTGACAGATAATTGGTTTCTATTGTATAATCATAAAACGTGTGCATCGTTATGCACTGATTCCTAATATCCAGGAAACCGCGCGCGTTCCCAGCAGATGTGCAAATGAGTTATTGTGTTGCGATTCCCAAACACATGCTTAACACCTACTGAGACAGCGCAGGGTGCATCGCTTTCCGGGAACACCATAGCATATACGTAAGGCAGAATGGAGAGAAGAAAGTTAAGCATAAGTTGACGACTCCAGCGCCACTTGCGGAATGCCCAGACCGGGCAAGGGATCTTATTAAGGATTTTCATTCAGAGCATTATTTATTCATGATCTAATCTACGAATTATCGGATTAGCACCATTTTTGTCGATGTTTTCCCGCATGGCTAATCTCATCCTGTTTGTGAAACAGACAGAGAATAAACATCTCTTGAAGTCAGTTTGTTATGTTTTTTATACTAAATAATACGATGTAATGCGCTTATTAGCCATTTGATGAGTCGTTGAAAACAAACTTGCTAACCCTTAGTTTCCCGATATTTTCGTCTGGTAGGAGTAGGTAGAGTTAATGAAAATCATTGACGTAACCAGGTTTTACGGTAGCATATCCGCAGATGACGGACAAAGTTATCTAGTTTAAATGGATTAGAACCCCTTACTCATTGTCAGGGGACCGTGGAAATTCATTATTTCGGTAGTAACATCATTACGATCCTTCCATATGCTTACTTTTTTTGTAACTTTCTATCCACGCTCTTCCTGTTTTCTGACACAATTCACTGCGCCAGGAAAGCTTAAATTAGGTTAATACAACACAAGGTATAAACAGGCGCATACTGCTCATCGTGAAGCCACTGAAAGTCATTCTTATTGTCGATTTGGCTGACGTTATGTCCGCCTAATCCTCGGAAGAATTTCCCAAACTGACTAACC